GCTATTCCAGCATCAAGCACTCGCATTGATTAAAGAGTGACTGGTTTGCCTATGTATTGTTTTTTTCTCTCTCTCATCGCTCTTGTTGTAATGTATTGGGAAGCCAGAATTTGCATCCATCAACAGAAACATGCATTAGCCGAACTCTACCAAACCATATTACAGATACATTGTCAGATTTAAGTTGAACCGCGGTCCTAGTGTATGCCGAACCGTGCGTGGAGGACGGTACGGTTAGATTTTTTACCGAGAACCGTTGCACCCCTAATATTTATAATAATATATATTTATAATAATAATTACTAATACTACTACTCATAATATTTTTTATTGTTTTTACATAGAAATATATCAGGGCTATTAAATTAGTTTAATTTGAGGGCCGGATTATTGAATTGAAAATTTGAAGGGGGCCAGGGGGGCATCCCGATCTCTTTCTGGGGGGCCTATAAAATTAAATTTAATTTGAATGCATATTCAGCAGTAAAATCAACTAATATTACCAACACCAACGTCTATAAAAAAACATTAGTGCTGTCTGTCAGTCGAAAAAAAAAAAACTAATTCTAGTGAACTAATTAATCACATTTCTCTGTAATTAATCATGATTAATTGCATGTTAATATATTGTCATAATTTCACATTGAACCTCCAAATTAATGTAGAAACAACCCATATTTTAAATGTTTAATGGCATCTCTTTACTAAGTAGCCTATTATTAACAAAGGCCAGTATTTTTGATACCAATACTGCTACTGATGTCTCGATTAATTGCATTTTCATCTCAATTTTAGCCATTAATTATAGCCATTCAACATTACAGTATATTTTTAACATTTAGTAGGCTCTTACTAAATTAACTTTTAATTTAAGTGAACTTAAAACAATCTTCACATAACCTATAAATTGTATTTTATAGTTTTGGCATAATTGTGAGTTTTTGTCCGTTGAAGAGCTACTAGCATGCTGTCTGAAGCGTCTCAGCGCATGCATACAGCAGAACGAGCAGCCTTTTTAAACTATACTCCATGTGATAATCATCTTCGTCCAGTGTCTGCGCTATTTCTCGCCAGAAGTTATGACAGATAACACTGCCTTTATACTCGATGAAACTATTGTTGTGGATATCTCATAAGCCGCTCACACAAGCGCTTGTCAATGCTGCCGTCTACTGATGTTGCGGTCTCCAGTAGGTTGTTGTTGTTGCGTCTCTTCCTTTTCTTTTTCGGCTGTAAAACAACGGCTCCGGCCAGTGATGCCACCGTGTGGACAAACTAATTAGTGCAAAAACAATTCAAGGCGTATGTGCGACCTGCGTGTACTCTTCCCTCAGGCCGGATGAAGATGATTGGCGGGCTGCCAATTGAATAGCCCTGAAATATATAATGAAAAATATATATATATTTTTTTTTTGTATTAATATTATTAATACAATACTTTGTTGGGTCACCACTTGATGTCCAATCTTGAAAAAAAAACCCCCCCAGATGAGAACCACTGCTCTCTATTATACACAAATCCGCAAGCACAATTTTGGCTCACTGTGACCTCAGATTATGCTAGGGTGAAAAATAAAAGCAGTTCGGGAAAAATAATTTTCTCACCTTGAAGAACAAGGACACAGATCTGAGAACTGCTCCTGTGCTTAAACACAGTGTCAACACATGCAGCTGAGGACATGAACCAAGACACCAATGTGAAATGGGCTGACAAAAGCTCCTACACAATGAAGATAATAGCTCGGCAACAATGGAGCTAAAGAACAGCCTGCGGGCCAAGTAACACAGCCATAATTGAAACGGCTAATTCGCTGTCATCAAAAGAAAGAAAAGCCCATGTGCTTGCAAGTCAACTTGAAAGCAACAGCTGATAGCTCACAATAGCCAAAAACGATTCCCATTTCTTCTAAATGGCTAGATTATAGAAGAGTTACAAAACTTGTACTAAAAACACACAGGCACAGTTGCATTTATGTGTGATTGCAATGGCAAAGGCGCATGCCAAGCTGCTGGATAGTGTACAAGGGGTCTTGCTGTGTTAGCCCTGTCTCAGTCTACTGAGCTAATGAAGTCAAGTGAGGTCCACTGGCTCTGGAGAATAACACACAGACTTAATCAGCCTGGGCCAGGCACTTCGCCTTGCTAATGAGAGTGTTCACACAGTCCCCAAGTGTACATGAGCATGTATGCATGTGTGTGGACAGTTCAATTCACCCAGCTTTGGCCAAACAGGTAGGGAGAAAAAAAAAAGAGCCAGCTTTTTATCCATTTTGCGCCTGCAGAAGGTTACTTCACCTCAGGTTGTGGACCTTCTGTTTGTCTGGAGAACTGCAAAAGCTGCAGATGGTTAAATACAGATTAAAAGATGGTTTTATACAGATTAAAAAAAAGCATAATAGCCTACATTGAAGCTAGACAAATTAGCGAGAAGCCAACATGGACAAGTTGCATAACATCCTGGAAACTATGAAAAAAATAACTATGCAAACAGATTATCGTAATTATAATATAAAATACTTCTATGAATATGTTTTAAATGTATAAACATAAAGTGTAAAAATTATTATATGAAATTATTAAAATTAGTATTTTATTAGAAGATATATTAATACATTAGTAGTTTGAGCTACAGATAAATTTATGATAATAGCCTACACTGAAGTTAGAAAAAATAGTCAGAGGCGAACATGGACAAGTTGCATAACATCCTGAAAAAAACCCCATAAAAAAATAGCTATGCAAAGAGATTATTATGATTATATAATATACATTTATAATTATATTTTAAATATATATATATATATATGTATATATAATATACATTAAAACATTTTAAAATTTTAAAATTCATATACAGAACAATTATTATTATTATTATTATATGTAAAATATATCAAGAGGTATAAAATAATTTATTTTTAATACAAAACAGTTTTACATTATATTAATACAATCGCTGTTGACCTCTAACAGCTATAGTCAGTTAAGATGCAGATAAAAAAAAACATTTAAAAGTAAAAAAATACGGATGATATATGCCAAACAGCCTATGTTGATCTGTAATCCCAGCAAAAAGCTTTGCCTCTTCTTTCAAAAATGGATCAAAATATGTCCCTTGGCTAGCCTACCCAGACCATGCTCTGCACTCTTTGAAGTCACAAGGGAAGCTCACATAACACTAATAGCCTAGTCGTGCTCCAAATGGCTGAGTCACTTTTTCCCCCCCTTTTTTTGCTCCAGTGGTGTGCTGCCTCACTACCCAGCAGCTCCCAGACCATGCTGACCTTAAACCTGAGAAAACACACACACACACACACACACACACACACACACACACACACACACACACACACACACACACACACACTTTTCCATGGTTTCCATGTTTTACGGGGGCTCATAATGGTTTTTCTACTGTCCAGACTGTATTTTCCATCCCCTTACCCTAAACCTACCCTTCACACAAAACTACAGGCATTTTTACATTTTCAAAAAACTTAATTCTGGTTGATTTTTAAGCTTGTTCCAGGACGTGAGGCCTCGAAAGCCCCAGAAGAAAAAACAACAACAAAACAGCCACCACAACCGCTGCTGTCAGAAAATAATTTGAAAAAAGACAACACAGGAAAGAAAAAAAAAACTGGCGCAAGATTCACTGTACATACTGTACCCTGGGTTGTGGCAGGCGGCCCAGACTGGCGCCCTGCCAAGTCCACAATAAAACAAACAGAGACGGCGTGCACCAGCCGAGAGGAGCGAGGGTGTGTGTGTGTGTGTGTGACTGAAATGGTACACCACAATACACACCACATACCTAATACCATTCTTCAGCACCTTCTCCTGAAGACGAGGGAGCGGAGGAGGTGGAGGGCAAAGCCACTTGCTTGGTGTCACTGATAAAAATCAAACCGCTCAGAACAGGAAGGATAAAAACAGAAAGTTTGCAATGAAAGAACAAAGCAACAAACAAAAAAAACAAAACAAAACAATCAAAGAGCCGCGCTGTGTCTCTGCCTCTCTGCCACTGTCTGTGTCTATAAAAGTGTTTCCACTGAAAAGCTTGAGCATTACACAAGAGTGAAGCTCTCAAGAGCCAGACTGCTACAAACAAAAACCAGGTTAGCGCTGTGTGTCAAGCATCGTGCATATGAACGTTAAAACTGTTTTGCTCTAGGGTTTTTTTTGTGTTCTGTTTTGATGCACTAAAAATAAGCCGCCTCGCAATGCTCACTTATTCTGCCTGTTGAGGGAGGCTGTCTGGGGCTGATTCTTTTGGTAAAGATCTTAAGGAATTATGACTAGTTCTTCTGCCATTTTAAATGCAAAACTGCTATCGTGATTACAGACATTTCTCATTTTTGGCTCAACTTTACGAAGGTGATGTAAATTTAGCAAAAAAACTGAAACTGTATGTGGCAGAGTGCTTAATGAACACAGCCCATGTGCAGATCCCATCATCGCATGTCTTCTGGTGTTTTCCATCAGGTTTGTTTCAGAAATCCGAGATAAGTTCAGAAGGGAGCACTTCAAAACACCTGTTTCTGATGTGAAAATTGATTTAAGTAAAACAGCTTATTCTAATATTAATTTTATGAAGATGAAGGAGAAGAGAATTAGAATAAGCTGATGATGATGATAGAAGGAAGAAGCAGCAAAAGATAGAGATGATGAAGAAAAAGGAGGTAGTGGTGCAGAAGAAATGCAGGGGAAGAAACAGCAGCAGCAAAAGAAGAGGAAGAAGAAGAGCAGAGGAAGAGTAAAAGCATCAGCAGAGGAAGAAGCAACAGCAACTGAAGCAGCAACAGATGATGCAGCAGAGGACAAGGAAGAAGAAGAGCAGAGAAAGCAAAGCATCAGCAGAGGAAGACGAAGTAGAGGAAAAAGCAGCAGCAGCAGCAAAGGAAGAAGCAATAGACGGAGAAACAGCAGCAGAGGAAGAATCAGCAGCAGCAGCAGCAGCAGCAGCAGCAAAAGAACAGGAAGAAGAAGAGCAGAGGAACAGTAAAAGCAGTAGCAGAGGAAGAGCAGATGAACAGTAAAAGCAGTAGCAGAGGAAGATGAAGTAGAAAATAAAAATAAAAACCTGCACAGGAAAAAGAAGCAGCAAAGGAAGAAGCAATAGATGGAGAAGCAGCAGCAGAGGAAGAAGCAGCAGCAGCAAAAGAACAGGAAGAAGAAGAGCAGAGGAACAGTAAAAGCAGTAGCAGAGGAAGATGAAACAGAAAAGCAAAAAAAAAAAACAGCACAGGAAAAAGCAGCAGCAAAGGAAGAAGAAATAGATGGAGAAGCAGAAACAGAGGATGAAGCAGCAGCAAAAGAAGAGGAAGAGTACAAGCAGTAGCAGAGGAAGATGAAGTAGAAAAGCAAAAAAACAGCAGAGGAAATGGAAACAGCAGCAACAACAGAAGCAAGAGATGAAGAACCAGAAGCAGCAGCAAAGGAAGAAGCAATAGATGAAGAAGCAGAAGCAGTGAAAGAAGCAGCAGCAAAAGAAGAGGAAAAGTAAAAGCAGTAGCAGAGGAAGATGAACAAGTAGAAAATCGGCAGCAGAGTAAGCAGCAGCAGCAAAAGAAAAGGAAGAAGAGCAGAGGAAGAGTAGAAAAAGTAGAAAAACAACAAACAGCAGAGGAATAGGGAAGCAGCAGCAAAGAAAGAAGCAACAGAAGAAAAAGCAACAGGTGAAGATACAGCAGGAGAAGCATTAGCAGCAACAGATGAAGCAGCAGAAAAAGATAAGGAAGATGAGGAAGCAGAACAGGAAGAGGAAGCAGAACAGGACGAGGAAGAATCATGTTTTACAACTTCAAAAAACAGCATTGTTGTTTGAGAAAATGAGATTTGAGACTACGTTTAAATCTGAGGACACTTGAGCCACAGGGGCCGACATTCGGACTACAGTAAACTCCCGCAGTAATCCAGAGAGGGTGAAGTGTGAGGCCCCGCAAACACTAACAACACATCAAATGGCACTCAGTCCTTCTGTTTGGAGAGTCACTGAGCAAGTCAGTGGCTTTACAAAGGCCTTTTTGAAGCGTTCTCTAGCCCACAGTCTCATGCAACCCAGCTTCTGAGCGCAGGATTATCCGCAGCCATATTATCCAAACTGCACAAGCCAGTCTCCCATAAGGATTTCTGGATTACTATAATGACACGGAACATACTTTCGCATGAGTACAGGCGTCTCTGCGGGTCAGTGCGGAATACCAAACAGAGGTATTCATCGGAGTTCAGACTCGGCCTATTTGTCTCATCGCAGAACAGCTCTCATAAATGTCACCATGCAGTACATGCTCCGTGGGCTGCCATTATGAGCGCACGAGTACTACAATATCTCCACAGAGTCTGTTATTGAACATGCATCTTGGGATTTGAACAGCCTCTAAAATAAACATTAGATATTTCCTTAGAGCAGCGTCTGCCATGCTGAGTCGTGCATAAATTGAATTGGGCGGCCCAGCGTGAGATGTCACTCATCTCTCCACTCCACGTTTTTAAACGTCCCTGCAAAAAGTCAATCTCATCTCAATATATGAAGATATTGACATTGAAATATTCCACCGCTGCGAGGCAGAAAGTTGGAAAGGTTTGGTGGTGTAATCTGTGAGTTTTTTTTTTAACTAATCTAATCTAATCTAAACCCCTAATTACTGTGGAATCAATTACCTCGGCACAGCACTCGCTCTTAATTATCATAAACATGAGTGCGCTCGATAGGGGGGCAAAAAGTCTACAAAATTTGACCATTGTGCATATCTGCTGTGCGGTAAGGACTTTGGCTTCTCTGGCCTGTGAATTTGGCAATCGCAGAGGGAGGGGAAGGTAGATTCCTGTTGGCCTGGGCTGGAAACCTGGAGTCCCACTGCTTTTATAGACTCTATATAAACCAGATTCACTACAGACCACGAAAAGAGCACTTCTCTATTAAAGAAAAGACTCTCCACTATAATAAAATAAAATACAGCCTCCAAAAATTAACTGGAAACAAATGTAGATATTCCAGGATTCGACCTATAGAATAGATAGAAATAGACTACTGTTCAAAAGTTTTGGGTCAGTAAGATTAGAGTTTTTAAGTAAATTAATGCTTTTATTCAGCAAGGATGCATTACATTAATCAAAAAGAGACAGTAAAGACATTTATAATGCTACAAAAGGTTTTGACAAAAGACTTGTTCTTTAAGTTTTTTCTGTTTGTTTTATTTTTTTAATTTATCAAAAAATCCTGAAAGAATGAATGTGGTTTCCACAAGAATATTAAGCAGCACTGTTTTCAACTGTTTTTGAGCACCAAACCAACATATTAGAATGATTTCCTGAAGGATCATGTGACACTGAAGACTGCAGTAATGATGAGGAAAATCCATTTACAATCACAGAAATAAATTACATTTTAGAATGTTAAAATATATATTTTTTTATTAATTTAAATTGTAATAATATTTCACAATATTATTGTGCTTTCTATATTTTTGATCAAATAAATGCAATCTTGATGAGCATAAGCAACTTCTTCCAAAAATATTTTTACAAAATACTGAACCCAAACATAGGTCAAAATTATTATTATTTTAATTATAACATTTTTACAATTATTTAACACTAATTTAATGAAACCATAAAATTATTTAAAATTCTGTTGATTGCAATTCAATTCCTCTTCCTGTCATTCCAATTCAACTTTCAAATGCATGAACATGAATTCATAATTTCACCCAACCCTTAAAAACAAGCATCCTTATTAGTGATGTTACCTGAGTGAGACAGCAAGTGCATCCTTAGGCGCAGACTGTCTAGGAAGCGTTTTCCACAAAGCTCGCATCCGTAGGTCTTCATTCCGCTGTGCAGCTTCCTGCGGGGAGAAACACGACAAAATAACATCAGCCAACACCATTTATGTCACTCGCACAAAAACCAGGAAAGCACCTGGGTATACTAGAGATTCGACTAGCGTGCTAAATGGCAAAGACAGAATAGCATAATTTTACTTCCCACCACATGTCCTTTCACTCCTCTTACACCAGATAACAATAAGGAGGGTATTAAGACCAGAGCCCTTGTTTTTGGGAAATACTAAAGTGAGGTTTGTAAAACCGCTGTTTATCTTCTTGAGAGTGGAATAAAACATTGTTTGCAACCATATGAAGCTAAACTTGCACATCTCCGTGTCACTTCAGCCAATTATTCCCATATTTAGACAATCATATGTATATTTAAGCCTATCACTACTGTAGATGTCATGAAATGCCTTGAAATCGAAAATTATCAATGGCACATGCGGTTTCAAAGTCCTATTGTTCATTCATTCAGCTCCCCAAGCGGACATGAAGGAGCCCTTTATCTAAACAGGAACATATAGATGGCCATGAGTCCCCAGATAAGAGTGACTATAACGGCTGAATTTGGCTGCAGGGTCCATTTCAAACAGGGGTCAACTTTTCATGAGGCTAAAAGAGAAACATTTGTTCTCTTAAATTATAACATCTCAGAGTATCGGGGAAAGATTAACCCAACAGAATGGAGACACAAAAGCATGAGTCAAGTGGACTTTCAAAGCAGCTGTGCAATTAACGTAGTTAAGTGTCTAAAACATTGCTTAAGAAATCTACATTTTCTCAGTCCAATCAAGTTTTAAATCACTCATGTTGCTTGCAACTACTATAATAAAAAAACAACAACAACTGCCAAGTAGTTAAAAAAAAGTATTTTTTCCCTTTGGTCATGTCTTATCTCGCCTACGGCACCAAGTGAGTCAGGACTGCCACATGGAGCCCCATTGAGTACAGGAAGAGACAAAGATCTCCTTTTGTTTCACTGTCCCTTGAATAAAGCCTGCAACCTGGTGCAGACTGGCTATGTTTAAGTGTATTTAACATTTCAATCATTAGCATTCTGCTTTGGCCCATACCCATGTGTGGATTCAAATCAACTAGTGAATGCACATGTGTGACTTTCTCAGGCTTCAAAACAAAAGATCTCGAGCATCTGCATCTTTTCAACCGCACTAATCCTCAGATGCATCGCATCCGATTGCTAATAAGCAAGTAGAAACAATCGAAAGTCAATGCAAGCGAATTAACAAACTCAGGCTGGTCACTGCCACTCGTTAAGAATATGAAACTCAGTCATGGCAGGTACAGTAAGTGGTTTTATGGGTTGCGGTGCAGTGACGAGCTGCTCAAAGTACTAGGTTTGTAAGAATGCCGCGAGAACACTGGCGACTTGCTGCGAGTGGTGAACTGAATTGGTTTTTATTAGCATGCTTAAAGCATTTGGTAATTGTTTCCAGAGTGGTAATTAGCTCATTGTTTGCACTTTAGTGCCAAATGTATACATCTTTAATGAGGAACAAAGACGTGTACTTTCTTCGCTTTCTATTCATACTACATAGATAACGCGCACTGCACAAGGCAGGTTTTTGTTTCTTTTAAACGGTGTCATTTTCATGCTAGTGAAATCCATAATCTGTTTGGTTCAGTTGATTCTTTGGTTGATTCTTCTATAAAGATGCACTAACCAAAAACTATTTTTATCAAACAACCCCTCGTTTCTGTTTGAAGTTGTGAGAATCAGCGTCACATGCTGGGTTGTAACGATTTAAGCTTTTATTCTGTTCTTATAAACAAGAGTTGGCAGAACATGGAAATAGTGGCAAGAATTATGAAGCAAGGAAGTGTGGTTTAACCTCAGCGAGAGACAGAAAAAAAAACACCAATGGAAAACAATTTGGGGGTTGAGATTGCAAAAGAGAGACTTCAGAAAAGAAACAAAAAGGGGGGGGTGGGGGGTGGATGAGAGAAAACTTGCAATGCATCCAAAATCCGGATGGCTGTCTTCTAGATGGGGATTGTGGAGACCCAACAAACAAAGAGAAGAATGAAGCAGCAAAGCCCTTTGGCAAGCAGCAAGTAATTAAAAAGGCCTGTAAACGCCTTCCAGGATAAAGGGCACTTCAAAAGACGGGCGGGCGAGTGAGCGCGCGAGGGGGAGCTGGGAAAAGCCAGGGGTCTGTGCACCTTTGGGATCTGTGCTAATGCGGCACAATACAGAGATACTGTAGGGGGAACACTCAAAGGCCTTTGTGGGCCTTCAATCTAGCCATTGTCCCTCTCCTGAGGTCTGAGGAGAGCGCGCTTCCACTGATTAGAGACTGACAGAGAGTGCATACTGTCGGAGTGACCCTACGAGCCCTGAGGGGACATTTGAGAGCTGATAGAAGGCAGACTGGCTACTTGAGGCAGGAAGGACTTTCACTATATATAGTACATTAGAATAAGAGACTTGTGCAATCATCAAAACTTTTACTACCTTAACAAATGTCACTGTGAATTAGGATTGCGCAATATATTGGCAGCAGGACTGTTGAAAAAAAAAACATTTTCGTTACTTAAAATAAATGTTAACTGAAAAAAATATATATTTCAGAAAATCACCAAAACATTATTTCTCATTTTCATTAAGCTTATCTTGATAAAAACTGAAAACTAAAATATAACTGAAATACAATTAAAATCTATATTGACATGCTTTAAAAACAAATAAGGAAAAATAACAACAAAATTAAAGAAACAAAATAAAAAAATACAAAAATAAAAAAATAAAAATGATTTGTACATGATTATATCCCCTATTTTTAAATTTGGATTACCTTTGCTGTCATCTAACACTCACTTACAACTGATCTTGAGAGTACACTAATAATTCTAATCTTTCTTCTAATTCATTTAGAGATTTACCAAATCTCTAAATGAATATCCATTTTCATAGTACTGTCATGTGATGCCTCAATTAATTTGTAGTATTTAAATGTTTAATTAAATACGTTTAATTTAATAACAAAACAGTGCCAGCCACTTAGTTTAAAGTTTTATTTTTGATTTAAAGACAAAATAGTGTTGGTTATATAGTAATGGTCATATATTGGTAGTCAATAATATTGGTCATATGTTGATTGTTAGCTATGACATGAAAATACATATCAGCATTATCTATCATGCATCCCTAGTCCCAAACCTACTGAAGAGTGACTGCATTTGATTTGACCTTTATTGAAACAGTCAGACGTTTACATGCAATACCACAGTTTGCTTAAAATCAGAGGGAGGTAATTAGTTTTATCTGTGCTTCATTTTTAGAAGACGACCCTGAATATGACATGCTCAAACCTGCTTCCAGCATGGAGCGCGGCAGTCCTGTCATAAAGGCAAAGTCGCCGGGGCACCTGCCCCTGCAATACCGACAACTTCTATTTTCTGGACAACGAGAAGTAAAGCCTCTGTAGATTTTATGGGACATATATGCCCCCACATCCCACCTCTTCAAGACACACACACACTCCGTATGTGTGAACTATGGCAGTTCCTTTTCCCCTCAGGCCTCTCCAACCAGCTGTGCTCTGGCTTTGCCACAGAAACTGTAGATGGTGTGTGTGTGAAAGCAGAAGAGAAAGGGGAGGGGTGCACTCTGTGTGCCTGAAACAGACTGACTGTAGTCATTAAGGAAGCAGGCATAAAACTCTCAAGCCATTTACTCCGTTAATAAGCGACTTTGTCTAACAGTCAGTTTTGACAACGGCAATAAATTTTAAATTTATGTCAACAAAACATATGCTGAACACCTAATTTCAATGCCGGTGTGGCGTGCTGGCTCGTAAATCAGCCCTGTGTTTGAAACCCGAGTAGATTACGGGCCTGTGTTATTGAGCTGTTAGAGCCCGGCCCATATAAACCTGAACTTTCTCACTCCTGAGTGGACCCCAGGCCGTACATCATAGCTAGGAGTTCCCCTGACAGTGTGGCCTGCTCGCTGCCCCCCAGCAGGCCGGAAACCCCAAAAACACTAGGTATAAATGGCATGCGTGTTGGTGTTCAACAATGACTGGTTGGATGCCTGAAATGACTACTTGACTGATCAGTCTTTAAAGAATAGTTCACCTAAATATCAAGATTCTCTCATGTATGACTTACTTTTTTTCTGAGAAACACAAAAGATATTTTGAAGAATGTTGGTAACCAAACAGCTTTGGTGACCATCGACATACATAATATGGCACAAAAAAAACAAACAAACAAACTGACATTTCTCAAAATATCTTCTATTGTGTTCCACAGAAAAAAGAAAGTGATACAGATTGGGAATGATATTTAGGTGTGTAAATGACAGAATTTTCATTTTATTGGGTGAACTATGCCTTTAAGGAAAATCTGACCCTTATTGGACACTTTATGGGGTGTTTTCATAGGGAGATGTCCTTGCATTTAAAAAAGCTAATTAGAGAACATTCAAAATCAGCATGAAATGCACAACAACTTCCAAAGATATTCATCTGAATGTGTATGGCTTTTCAGAGAGGGTTTAACCATCTGAACACCTAAAGAGCATCACATTGTCAGCAAACTTAGGAGGCAATATTGCACCTTAATGCTTAATCCACCTGTCAAAATAATATATATATATATATATATATATATATATATATCTATATATAATGTAATAAGGTTTAAGTTAAAGCACTAAAATTCTTAAATGGAAATGAATAAAAACTAAATCTGAACTAAAACTAAAATTAAAACTCAAATAAAAAATAATTTAAAAAATACTAATAAAAATCACAAAAGTATATGATAAAATTATTTAAAGATTTAACTAAAATTAAAATAAAAACTGAATATATATATATATATATATATATATTAAAAAAAAGACAAACGCAGTGTATCTACTACTGTAGAACAAATTCATGTCAGTGGAGATGACAAAAGAAAGCAGAAAAAGTTAGCTCCCCAGTGTAGGAGTTTCTTGATTCTCCAAAAAAGACTGCAGCAAGTGTTGATCAACAGTTAATTATTTTTG